GTGTCAACCTGGTGGCTCGCAGGCTGCATGTGGCCCCCGAGGTAATTTTTTGTGGCCCACAATGCTCTGAAATAAAATGAAAATAGAAGAAATTGTTATGAGGAAAATAGTGCTTAGGGGAGATCGAGGCAATACCGTACACAATTCCCTTGTTACATTTTATTTCAGAGCATCATGAGCCACAAAAAATTACCTGGGGGCTACATGCATGCAGGCTGCCGGACACCCCTGAATTTGAGAAAAGTGTGTTACATTGGTGCTGTGCTGTACCCTGACTGGTTCATCTCTTCATTGTCACCTTTCTGAGAAACCCAAGGCCCATCTGTCATCCATTGTTGATTCCTCTTAAATGCTGCCATTTCTTGAGGATTTATTTCTTAAAATAACTGTGGTCCTTTTCGCTCAGCTCAAACTGAATGATCTCTTTTCCTTCCATGAATTTAGGTTCTACATGTTTTTGAGAGCCTTGAGTCTCTCCCAAATGGAGGATCTATTTTTCTAAGATTTCTAGCTTGATAGCCGCTCTGGGTGTTCTACGTATTTCTCCAGTACAACAAGTTCTATTCAGAACCCTTGCCATTTCTAGCCACCCCCACACTGACATGCTCTTTCTGCACCATGTCTTCTGATGAATGCTTTCTCCCTCTCTCCACTCCTCTTTCACCGTTTAACAAGGGTACCTGTGAAATGCGCCTCAAATTTGACTGTCGTCTTCACTTATTTGCTATTACCTTTATTAAGTCTTACTGTCTGCAACCAATATTATTATACTTGAGTCCTATTTAACCGGAAAAATAAGCACCATTAACTTCCTGTGTTCTGCCAGGTACTGTGTGGTAAGTTAGTGCAAGGAGAGATGAGATAACTCAAATTACATTTGGACGGTTTGTATTATCATGGACACATTTCATGACTTTTCCATTTTAGTTTTGCTTGCCCTTCTTTCTGTTCTGCCTACATGTCATTTTTTTTTTTTTACTTAATTGATACAACTCAGAGTAATTAAAGTCCATTGTTTCTTTTAACGATAGCTGTTTAATATCATGATTTGCTTTTTTTATAAAACTCCTTCAAATCTCATTCTCAAAATTTCAAATATTAAGACAAAAATGTCAGTATTGTGTAAGTTCTTGAGACATTTAAAAATCAGAAATGACCTTTTTTGGCAGTTTAAATGAGAAGCATAAGGCATCCTGAAAGCAAATTCAATAATTTTAAAAGACAGAATCAATTTTCAAAAGTATTTGTTTTGTAGAATACATGGTAAATTCTGATATGTCCAACGAAGTAAAGCTCCTTTTCCAAGAAAGACTAAAAACAAGATGATCATCATCAGATTCTTAATGTATTTTAAAGGGAATTTTTAGTGTGCTGTTAGCTTTCTGTATTTTCTGCAATGGTAGTGGTTAGATTTAATATGGGGCTTTTCTGTTGATGATAGGTACACACTGGTGGATATTTTGCGAGCCATCTTACTTTCTTTAGAAGCCATGATTGAAGATCCCGAGCTTCAAGTGAATGGATTTGTTTTGATCATAGACTGGAGTAACTTCACCTTCAAGCAAGCCTCCAAACTCACCCCAAGCATGCTGCGATTAGCTATTGAAGGTCTTCAGGTAAAGATTTATAAGTTACCCACTTTTGGTTCCTCGTGCCCCTTAACAAGTGGTTTAATTAACTTCTCTCGTCTCATCTGTGTAGAATAACAAAATTTCAGACAGTGTAATAAAAAAATGTAGAAATAATTTCAGGTGCAAACATTA